ACCATCGTATTTTATATCTATTAATAGTTTACTTTTATCAATTTAACTTATAACTTTTATACAAAAATCTTACAAGTTATTATTACAGAAAAAGTGTTATCAAGAGATCATAGTCAACATATAATACCAGTTGATCGATAAACAACTTTAAATTTATCATTTATTTGCCCCATTGAAGTGTCGTAGGGTTACTCAAAATACATAAAAGTATTTTTTGCTCTATGGATTCAAGTTTCATTTATATGATTTAGACATTTTATTTCGATTTTTTATCTACTAGTTAGTTAAATATTTAAAATCATTTTATAGAAACACACCCAATATTATAATAACTTAAACCAGACACGTGTAATATACCGTGTGTACGTAATTATAAATTATAAATTGCGCATATGCAAAACGTTATTTGAGCATATTTTTAGCTTTTTCAGTATTGTCTGAATTACTTTGTTACGAGTGAATCAACTTGCTAACCAAAATTTTAATTCAGTAATTTGTAATAAACTAAAAAAAGAAACTAGCTAAAAGTAAAGTAATGTAATATTATTGTAGAATAATGATATGGGGAAATGTTAAAACAGACGATTTAACGGTTAGTAAAAGGTGGATGGATATATAGAAATAATGACCAAATAAATAAAATAAATATAATGTTTACGATAAAATGATAGAGGGTGCGATAAAAAAATTACTTTATTATAAATATAAAGATTATAAATAATACAATTTCATTATATAAATTCTATATTAAAAGTAATTTTTATACATGTCCACTAGGGTGGCGCAAAAAAAATCGACTTTAAAAATTTTTATCAGACACCCCCTAGATTTATTAAGTATATAAAAAAAAATATGTTTTGAAAATTTGAGATCGATAAAAAAATTTTTACAGGTCGCTCAAAGCGTTTTTCGTATTTTTACCAAAAATACCCCTTATTTATTAAAATATGATTAAAATTCTAAATTTTGGTCAATTATAATCATCTATATATGTAAAATGTTGTATTTTTAACGTAGAAAACGATTTTATAATTTTTTAATTTCTAAGACCTATATTGATTACGTAATTTACCTAAACGTCTAAGTATATGGTACTTTTCGGATCGATCTGAAAGGGGCCAAAAATTTTTTTTAAGTTTTAAAAAATTAATAGTTAAATTAATTGTTGTGTTTATTATATGGTGTAAAAATTTTTTTTACTAATAATAAAAATTAATACCTTATTTTCACGTTTTTTTAAAACTAAGTTTTGATTTTATCTTTATTGATTTCTATCAATAAAGATATCATTGTTACGCGGTATTAAGGCAGAATAATAACCATACATGCTATTTATCAATTACATAATCATAAATTTATGATGTACAAGATAGATATCAAACATTAAGTCACCTTTTTTTTGATGATAAAATTGTTACAGTGTCTGATGTATTGTTCACAAGTAGTTATATATGTTTTTAAAAGTTTTTGTGTACCTGTAGATCAGCATTTTCATACATTTTAATCAAATTTATCACTTATATTTCATCTAGAATTCACAAATATAAAAATTGTTTAGCCTACGAGAAAGCAGCAATAAGTAATTTAAAGTTTAATTTTATTATTTCATAAAAATATATAGTGGAATAATTTATAAGCTGAAAGTATTTAATAGTAAATTTAACCTACTTAATTAATTAATAACGGCTAAAGTTTAAACAACTTCATTTTAGTAATTATGGACGGTGCTAAATCAAAAAATTATCAGTTTATTATAACCCCAATTAAGAAGATCGTTGGTAATCGACTTCCATCAAAACGTGAAGTTCTTGGCCATTTTCTATATTTAAAAAATTTTTTTACTAATAATAAAATTTAATACTTTATTATAATGTTTTATTAAGTCATATAATTAACTTTATATTAAAAACATAATTCTTGTACTAAATGGTTTTTATAGAATAATTTTTTCGACAATTTTACAATGATATCTTAATTGATAGAAATCAATAAAGATAAAATCAAAACTTAGTTTTAAAAAAACGTGAAAATAAGGTATTAATTTTTATTATTAGTAAAAAAAATTTTTACACCATATAATAAACACAACAATTAATTTAACTATTAATTTTTTAAAACTTAAAAAAAATTTTTGGCCCCTTTCAGATCGATCCGAAAATTACCATATACTTAGACGTTTAGGTAAATTACGTAATCAATATATATCTTAGAAATTAAAAAATTATAAAATCGTTTTCTACGTTAAAAATACAACATTTTACATATATAGATGATTATAATTGACCAAAATTTAGAATTTTAATCATATTTTAATAAATAAGGGGTATTTTTGGTAAAAATACGAAAAACGCTTTGAGCGACCTGTAAAAATTTTTTTATCGATCTCAAATTTTCAAAACATATTTTTTTTTATATACTTAATAAATCTAGGGGGTGTCTGATAAAAAATTTTAAAGTCGATTTTTTTTGCGCCACCCTAATGTACACCTCATATATACACATTCCACGCCACATATTCCCCTACTATAGCACCACCGCTACCCACTTGATGCTAATCTATCTGGTCTGTCATATTTATATCCATACCTTTCGTCAAACCTTTCCGTTTCTCAAATGCACTAGTGACGTAGGCGCTATCTATTTATAAACTATTTATATTATGTTCGTTATATGACGTAGCGGAATTATATAAAATATTGTTATATATTATTCCGCTAGATAGTACCCGCAGCGAGTATTTTATGAATCTAATTATATAATAAAACATAGAAAAATTTGTCAATGTTGGAAAACATTACTTAACGTAAAATTAAAACTATATTAAAAATATTATTAATTTAAAAAACTAAAAAATATTAAAAATATATCAACTCAAAGCCACAAAAAATTAATGAAAAGTCGCGGATAAGTATTTCGGAAACAATGTTACCATTATCAACGCTAAACACATACTGACACCCCGTCTAGAAAAAATTCTCTTATATACCCCTAGTAACCTATCATTATTTTGAATGGAATAACCAGATAATTGTTTAACTAAGTCAATATTATTTTTAACTGAAAAGCTATCGAAGTCATTTATGAGTCGTGAATGTTTTTCATTTTTTCCTAAACCCCCTTTATTTATAACAGAATTTTTTTTGTAGAAAATTTAAACACTCCCTTCTTGCTAAGTCTTGATTATTAAAATCAACACTTTTAACCTCCATTTTTATTATATTACTTAATGATTTCNCTTGATTATTAAAATCAACACTTTTAACCTCCATTTTTATTATATTACTTAATGATTTCTGATTTTCAATTTTGTTTTTTTTTTTTAATGAAAGAGATCAACGATGTTATTCTAGGAAAATATTCGCGAAGATAAGAAAAAAATTGTTAGCACACATGAGCGTTTATAAATTTTATCAAAAATGCTGATTGCCGTCAGCATTTTTCAATTTAATCCTTGAATTTTTTATTAACACTGTCCAGAAGCATTTCAAAGGTACCCTGAAAAATTTCGTTAAAACCTGTTAATTTTTGATCGAGATATGACCATTTAAGTCCATTCATATAGTTTGCAGAAAAATATAATTTTGCTATGCACATCTTAATTTTGTTTAAATTTTATGTTAGCTTATGTAGTTTTTACTAATAACACGGCATTTAAAGATTGTTTTTAATAATTATTAAGTTTTCTTTTGTCTATCTGTTGTTTTGAATAATAATTAGTAGATTATTATAAAGTATAATAGTGAATACACCTAAGTGTTCTATAGTCATATTATTATTTAATTTACAAATGGAACAAATTTTTCGGTAAACTGCTTTTTAAGTTTTTTACGTTTTTTACACATCATATATCATTATCGGCTTAGCCGAGTACTCCTACCGGAGTCAGTGGCCTATCCATAAGGACAGCTCGAAGGTCCTGGACGTAGTCCCATCTAGGCGAAGCCTAGTATAATAATATTTTTTAAAGCTTTTTCTGGCGTAGCTTAAACAAGATATAAAATATTTATATCTAAATAAAAATTATATCAAGGCTTAACTGTGGTGGACTAATATTTCTCGGCACTGACGTTTTGAAAGTATGCTGCACAATAATCACTAAGTTAAGAAACAAAATAAAAACAATTTTTTAAGTCTCTTTATGTTTTTTTACACAAAGGCATTATGCTCCAAAACTAACTACTTAGTACATATAGGCTTATCAGTATAATATAACCTAATGTTCCTAATTCTAGAATAATATCTAGTTGCAATCTTTACTTTGTCTGCCAGAGCTATAGTCTTTAAGAGAAAGGCATTAAACTCCAAAACTATTTATACATTAAGTATAGATATCGTATCACTTATTAGTTTTACAAATGAATAAAGTCTTTAAGGTCCTAACTGACTTAACTATAAACCTTTTTTTCTATAACATTAATAATGAGTATGCCCATCGACTGTCAGCCGTAACCCAAAAGAGTAATAAGACTCGACTATTACTAGCACAAATTACTCTTTAGATTACTACCAAAAACATGTCATTTAGATCTTGGAAGCTTAATTAATTGTTAAATGTGATTAATTGGACTAAATTGAAGCTCTACACATAGGCAATACTATAATTTCGTAGAATAATTAAATTTTGACTTATATTTAACTCGATATTTTGTGTTTCCAAAAAGGATATACGTTTTGGTGATCTTGTATAGTTATTACATATGACATACATATACAAATTATAACATCATATTTTATGTTAATAATATTTTAAGTGATAAAATAATATTACAAATTGAAGATGTCAAAATACTCTATGGCAATGTACTTACCAATTATATAATATATTGACACGAAGAAAAAAATAAATATTAAATTTTTACCATCATTATCTAATTTACTTATATAATTCTTCGCATAACAGATCCATTAAAATTTAACGTGCTAAGATTAAAATATTTTTTGAATATAACATACTGTAAATATCAATTTAAAAATTTTAATAATTAAATATTTTATTTTAGCGCAATTGGGAAATTATGAAGACATATATCGTCCATTGTATTTTCCAAATGATAATACAAATGATAGGAAATTACATAACAATGAAGTCTTCGGTGATGAAAATTATAATGATGAGAAAAATAATGAAGACAATGAGGTTATTGAAATAAAAAATGAGACGTTTTACTCTCCTAAATACTTAGAAGATTATTTACTTTTTGTGTAACTTATAAATTGTTAGGTAATATTTAGAATATTTTTTATTTGATTTAATAAATAAATTTATAATTTATTTAAATTATCATTAATTTTTTTGCCATCATCGCTGAATGAACGCAGCGACCCGTAGTATTTACAAGGGTTCCTTAAAGTTCGTTGTTTTATTTTGTCTTTAGTCAGGCTATATCGAGATAAAGGAATAAGGTAAGTGAACTTTATGATTGAATGTAGATTGAATTTTCAAAACATATAACAATTAAACGTATTATACATGAATCATAAAATCTTATATACACCAATGTGGATAGGGGGACACTTAATACTAATGCCACAACGGCGTTTATATAAACAAATAATAAATTATAAATGTGAGTGAGTCTTAAAAAAAGCATTATATTTATCGGCTGATGATAATGTTGAATATTGAAAGGATCAATTAAAGTCGAATGCAAGTAGTTGACCAACGTGTACAATATTCTGTGAATGGTACTGTGATGTATCTCAGCAAATATATAGACCCAACGGCGATACACTAAGCGCACAAGGGTGCATCAATCGCAAAGGTAATATTTTACTTTATAACAAAACGAATACCAAAACTACTAGCCGTAGCTAAAAAACGCCAAGATGGCAGCGGCAATGCAGACGCAGAGAGAAGACCGACAACAACTCGGTGTAGCATAACGATAGCATAAATAATCACAACACAATTTCTCAATAGCACTTCGACTTATGTGTATCCAAGAATCGCATTTTTTCTTTAACATATTCAACGAATTCTCAATCTTTTATAATTTGAGCAAATTTCATTAAAATGTTACGTAGTCTTCATTCTAAATATTTAGTACAACAGTCTAGTGCTAATTTGAGGGATGAACTTAAAATATCCTAAAGAAAGAAAAAAACGGTAGCACAGTTGGGCCTGGCATAGTTGGGACAAATAAAGATGTTATCTGACAGCGATTAAAATCACTATCATAAGAATCGCTTCGATGCAAATCTGTAGATAGTGTTTAATTTTAAGAAATTGGTGGATTATTCCAAAGTTACATCAATTTCCGTTTCTTTAATTATATCATAATTAGTATTTCTTTGATTTATAAATATAATATATGAAAAAATACTTATTACTTTTCAGAAAATAAATTTTTAGTTACAAATATACTTTTCTAAATCAGTTTTTTCGCGATGTTTTAAAATTTGCAATTAGATTTTTTTCATCATCTCTCTTTTAAGATAATTAATTACTAATTAGTAAAAAAAGAGTATTTATATAATAAAAATTATTAAAAAAANAAAAATTTCGATTCAAAATTCTATGCTTAACCTACTTTTATGTTCCTTGACAGTTGATTTTTATGGAAGTGTATATTTTAAAAATGTTGAACTCTTAAACTGTTTTTTAACCCAACTTGCAAATTTGAAATTGATATTATTAAATTTAATTTTTTATGATAATTTAAGAAATAATATTGTTTAAATTAATATGTAGTTAGAAAATTTTATAATTATTTTTTTTAGTGAATTTATGGGAAATGATCATTATTTCGTTTAAATCATTATGTTTTTTATACATTTTTATCGTAATAAATAATTTGAATAGAAATTATAGCATAGTATAGTATAGTATATTACATAAGCTTTAATTTAAAATTAAATAAAAGTATCAATATTTCCGGAAAATTTTAAAAAATTGGGTTGACAAAGTTTAATTTGTGTGTAAAAATTGTTATTTTGAATCCTCCCTTTGGTCAAGTCAAAAGTTAGATTTTCAAAAAATATATATCAAATGAAAGAAGTAAAGATAAACAGTTTATGAAAAAATAATTGTATTGATCCATACATTTTTCGAAAATTTATAGTAATTTAAAGTTGAAAAAATAAAACTTTTAATCGTAAATTTTAACATCAAAATTGCATGTTTTTTAACTACGGCAAACAATTTCACATAGAAAATAAGTCGTTCGACAAATTTTTTTTTTTTTTTGAACTTATCGTACATAACATTAGCTTTATTTTAAAATATGTTAGAACCTCGGAATATTTCCAAAACCTAAGTTGAAAAATTATAATTTTTGTGCAGAAGTTGTTATTTTGAATCCCCCTTTGAGCATATAAAGGGACACATTTTCAAAAAATTTTTATCAAATAAATGAAAAATATCTATGGTTTTTATATAATAAATAATTATTTTAATTCCTTCATTTTTCAATAAGTTATGGTAATTTTTAGAAAAAAAAAGTTTAAAAAGTGTCAAAATTTACCGATTTTAAAAATTGTTATTACTTGAAGATTTTCACTATTTAAGGGGATCGAGGGAAAATTTTTCAATTTTTGAGGGTAATGTCTTCAACTAGATACGATTTGTGATCTTTTGACGTATCGTTGAGAATAATCGGTCAAGTGAAAGCTGAAAAAAATTTAAGTATGTTTAACTTTTTATACTAAGTCAATAAATTGATATAATATTTATGAAAATCAGTGTAATCCCCTTATAATAAAATAAAATACAAAACCAAGAATTTTAACACAAAAATAGCATATTTTTGAATACAGTAGCTATTTTCACCATGAAGACAAAATAAAGTCCGAAATTTTATTTTTTAATATTAAATTATATCACATAAGCTTTAATTTAAGATATATATAAAAGTGTCAGACCTTTCGGAACACTTTCAAAAGTTAAGTTTAAAAGGTTAATTTTTTGTGAAAATGTTATCATTTTAAATCCCCCCTGTGGGCAGGTAAAGGGTTAAATTTATAAAAAATATATACCATATGGTAGGTAAAGATATCAAGTATCTATAAAAAATAAATTATATTGATATGTTCATTTTTAAAAAAGTTATGACAGTTTTAAGTAAAAAAAATTCGAAAATTAGCAATTTTTAAATTTGTAATTTTTTTGGAGATTTCCCCCTTTTACGGGTAACGAGGGAATTCTTTTTAATTTTTGAGGGTAATGTTTTCGACTAGATACAATTTGTGACCTTTTGACGTATCGTTGAAAAAAATCGGTTCGGTGAGAGCTGAGAAAAAGTGTAAACAGACACAAAAAAAAACACATCATAGCAAAATAAATACCTTCCCAGCTTTGCGTCGAAGCTAATATATATATATATATATATATACATAACATGACAGGTGATATTGGAACACGCCTGCCATGTTGAGGAACCTAAATAAAAAATGGCATGGCGCACTAAAAAAAAAATTCTGTCTCAAAACATTAATCAATAAAATGATACGTTACCAGCCCCGAATGGTTATGGAGTATAAGGCAGGCTCAACCGACGCCGTAATACAAAATAATCACATTATACACTCATTATTCATTAACGGACACTCGCCTACGAACGAAAATTAGCATACTAGTTCCGATGATAGTTAATTTCCGATAAAACGTCCGGCGGTCCGATGGCGACAACACGGGTTGCCTTTAGAGTAGGGGTCAACAAATTTTACTACCCAGTATCGGAAATTATTAAGCACAATTCTAATCATAAGGCGACAATGTAGTTGGTGAGCAGTGCAAAAGACGTTCAAGATAGGATAGAAGCTAACAGGTAGCTAATTGATTTTTTATGACATCAATATTCGCAGGTACACAGCATTGTTATTATCAATGGTAGTAAGGCCATTTTGCTACCTGTATTTGTAGTACATTGTGATTTATACATGTATATTAACTTAAAAAATTTGAAACTTTAAATGTTTATATCTAATAAACGAATAAAGTTATATTAAAAATTCAAATTCTATTGACTATTAAATTAAAAACTCAAACATTTTATTAAATTAAAAATATGTGTTTCCCTTAAAAAAACAAAGTTGCCCCCTTACAAGACATAAGGGATGAACTTAAAAAGTATTACATAGTTAATAATTCAAGAATAATGTGTAACTAAAGATAACCAAAAAAAAATGTTTAAATATATTCTGTAAATAATTGAGTGGGTTATGAAAAAAAAATCACTCTGTATATATATTAGGGTGTCCCTTGTTTTGAAAATTTTGGAAATTCTTCGGGCTCACCCCCCAAATTTTTGTGCATACAAATAAAAAGGGGCTACAAATATTTCAGGCCGATCAGATAAGTTAAACCCGTGCCGACTTGTGGTTGAAAATGGGCCAAAAGGAGTACTTTTTTAGTTTTTAGCAATTAACTCGTAAATTAGCGCTCTCACAAAAAAAATATTAAAACTAATTTGTAGATCTAATTGTTTTGTATAAATTAAGTCCTTACAATTTTTCTTTTAAATCCATTAGTTTTCTAGAAAAATGTCAAAATACATAATATTTCGTAAAATTGCCGAAATTAGCATATTTACCAATATTTCATCATATATGTGATACGACCTAATGTTTCATACAAAAATTGTTTAAAATTAAATTTTAAGAAATACCGGTAAGAAGTACAAATTTCATTATACCGATCGTTTTATTGCTATAGCTGAAAAAACTCGATCATATTACGATTTTTACTTAATATATGAATTTTATTGTTAGATTCTGTTAGTTATCATTTGGTACATTACATCACTTATCGTACAAGTACGGCGATAATACAATGGTATGACTGGATTAATGTATTGTTATTATTTTTGAATTATAAATAACTCTGGTTGGGTTGGGTTTATATAAATTTATTACAAATCGTAGCAATAGATATAGTGAACTCATACTTATACCACTTTAGTCGCGTATTAAGTTGAACTGCTTCCTATTGTGTTTTTCTTTTAGTGTTTTAGTACGTAAAAATGTCCGTAGTATTACGAAATGATAATAAAATATTTTTAATAGGGTCTTTAATTACTCAAATTTTAGGTTCAAAACTTCCATCCATTGGGCAAGTTCTAAAAGTTTTTTTTTTATAACCTAAGAATTGTTAATCTTACTATAACAGTAAGTGCAGCATTAACTATTCGCGAGTGTAATATTTTCTGGGAAAAAGCTCGAATTCCTACTCGATCATTTCACCACTGTGTAAATAAGTTGGTTAATTTTTATGACAAGTGGCGCATTTTACAAAAGAATTCTCAAAAAATTGGAGAAACGTTTAGAGCAAAAGAAACTGAG